ATCCTGGCCAGTTAGCTTTTTTAAAGTTAACAAATGTCCGGTGGTCCGCGGAGACAAAGTCGGGAGGCCTGTCAATCGAGATTTGTATGGGCAAGTGGTCCGATGCTAACATCAGTATAGCTCGCCAGACTATACTGTTTATCAGACAAACACTCGCAATATTTTTGTCGTCTGATGAGCTTTGGCAATTGTCTACTACGAAGAGTGTCACTCCTCGATGCTAATACCGGCACTTCTGTCGAAAAATTTGGGCGGATTTCCTCAATTCGGCTTGCCGGGATGAAGCGGGCCGAAGCGGTCACGACGACACTGCGAAATAAACGTTCACCAGTAGTGACGCCTGATGGAGTGGAGTGGAGCACTGAAGGCGGTCTCGGCGAAATCCGTGAAGGCGGACCGCGGAAACAAAGTCAAGAGGGCTGTCAATCGAGATTTGTATGGGTAAGTAGTCCGATGCTAATGTCAGTATAGGTCGCCAGACTATAATGTTTATCAGGCCAGCACTCGCAATTGTTATGTTTGGCGAGCTTTGGCAATTACCCATAACTCTGGAGTGTTATCGTTCATTGTGCGGAATGTCGAATCGTCTATCTGTTCTGCCAGCTCCATTCCTCTACGGTCATTTAACAGGCTAGAATGGCAAAGATCGTGATGCGCGTTAGAGTCGCCCAAAACCAAACGGTTTTCGCCCCTGAGTAGCGCACCTATGTCAGTGGTGTATCCTGCTGGGCTACTTGTAACTGGAGGAATGTATATATTGAATATTTCGAGCTCGACATCGCCTGACCGGATAGCTATGCCCTGACATTCTAGGGTAGTATCCCTGCGGTCGATGTCGTCATCGATGAGACGATACTGCACGGTGTTGTGCAGGATGAACGCTAAACCCCCACCGTGGTCTCGCTCGCGATCCTTGCGGATTATGTTGTATACGGCCCGACTCAGAAGATCTGATCGGGCGGTCAACTTGGTTTCCTGGATCGCAGCAATTGACAGGTGCTCCCGGCTCATGTAGTCGACTATCTCGTCAATCTTTTCCTGGAGTCCGTTGCAGTTGAATTGTAAATGTCGGGTCTGTCTCGGGGGAACGTTCGTGACTCGGGGGGTGAGGGAGTGATGCGTGGATGGTGTGTGTTGCTGCTGTACTACCCGCGAGAGCTGGTTCCGCACGTTGGTGTTAGTTGGCGGAGGGTTTGTCGAAACTTGCGGGGGCAGACTCCTACAGCACGAGGCAACATGCGCATTGCTCCACTCACGGGTGGTGCGCAGGCCAGAGCACGTCCGGAAGTGACACGAGCCAAAGCAAAGGTTGTATCTGACTGAGGTCACGTTCCGACGCACTATGGTCTGACACACGGAACAGACAGTGCGGGGGACTAGGAGCTGCTGGGTAGCCCTCACAAGGGGGGAGGATGAGGAGCTGGTTGTGGGTAAGGATGGGGGGTGGAGGTTGGAGGGAATCATGCTGCGGGTAGCTCCGTGAGACCGTGGAGGTCTGCTGATTACCCAGAGAGGGTAAAGGTGCTGAAGGCACTGTCGTGGAGGCTGGGGGCGGTTGTACGCTCGCAGCATTGGGCCAGATGACTCGTGGTCCATTCCCTGTGAGTCTTAAGGCCTGAGAAGGTCTTAAAATGACTCCAACTATTGCACTGGGTGCATCTAACCGAGGTGGAGGAACCGCTACAACAACAACAACAATGGTGGAGTCTTCTGTGACACACGCAGCAGAAATAGTCCGTCGGTCCAGGGTTGGTTTCTACACCAGCCCTGATCAAAAGGATTTGAAGCAACCCAGCTGCAAGGTGTTGCTTCATTGAGTTGACTTGAGTTTTGTAATTTTTAGGGGTATGGTTTTCGATTACGATCGGAAAGTGATGGCTTTCTGCAATTCTGGTTGGGTCAAATCTCCAACTGTATTGGATATTGCTGTTTAAAAATGAAAGATTTGAAATGAAGCCTTATGTGCCTTTTTGTAAGTTATGGATGAATCATTTAAGAAAGAGGACTGTGTGATTTGAATTATATTGTATATCCGACATCTCTCGGTTTAACTACTGTGTTGAAATATAATATTTTTCTTTTTATCTGCCTTTATGTAAAAAGGTTTTTTTTTTTTGTTTAAACTGGCAATATTAAAATTGTTGTTAAGATAATATTCTATTGTGTTTCTGGTAGCTTCATTTTCAATGTCAATAACAAAAAAAATGCTGTTAATTTCTTCTTCTATAGTTTTTCGGTGAAACAATTGTTTTAGTGCGTGAAAATTTTTTAATTCTGTAGTTAGTTTGTGCTCAATGCATAGTTGTTGTGTCATTTTGAACAGTTCAGATATTATTTTTTCTAGTTCAGAAATTTTGCTTTTGTGATATTCCGGCTTTTCGAAACCCGATGGAAGGAGGGGTGTGTGCGTTGACCCTTTGCAAACGTTTTGTTTACGAATACTTGGTTTGAGGTACAAACTTTTTTCTGAAATTTTGCTGTATTTTGTTTTCGTGAAGTTTCTGTTAATATTTTGGTCCTTGTTCTGTATATTGTCTTCTAGTTGTATTAGTGGAGGGAATTCTGTTCCGTCTACTTCCAGTGCGTCAAATCTATTATTGTTGTTGGGGTAGTATGTTCTTAAAGCCTCTCGTCTACTTATGTTCTTTACTATTTTTATATGGTTGAGCATTTTTTCTTTTCCCACACTGGACATTTGTCTTGTATGTATGGTCGTCATATTGACACAGTATGCAGCATTTCTTTGAGTAGTTTGCATTGTATTCATTTTGCCCGCAGCTAAGACATCTTAGTTTTGACTTGCATGCGAGATGTGTGTCCGAGTCGTCCACAGTTTTTATACTGTCTCAACCTGGGAATATAAAAATATACCTCTAATATGGTATATAAATTTTATATATTTTGCGCAATTTTTCCATAAAAAGCCGATTCTTATTGTTGTTGTAGGTATGTATGTCTATTTTCCGTTTTTTTTTTCGTGTAAACCTGTATACCGAGTTAATGTCTATGCTTGGGATAGCGTTGCTTTTTATGTACTCTGGGGTGTAGTTTCCTCGTGGCATTCTCCTTATTACCCCATGTATTTCCAGTACTGTGCTTGGGATAAAGTCTTCGTATGACGTAAAATCGTTTGCCGCTTAGATCATTTTGAAAGTAATTTTGTATAGCTATTTTCCAAATTGGACGCACCGGCTTTGGGTTTTGACGGCACCTTGACTGAAAACGGTCGGTAGTTTGTTTTGTTATGTTTGTCTAAATTATTTATTTGGAAGTAGTTTAAGCACGTTTTACCTGTTGTGTTATTTATACACAGATATTTTTTCTTTTTTTTCACTGATATAAAAATATAATTTTAAGTATATAAATAATTTTAGAAACTATGTATATAACATAAAAAAGTTCTATAAAACCTATAACGCGTACAACTCGTGAAGTAAAAACTGAGAATCGAAGTTTATATTAAATAAAACCCTAATTGTGATTCTCCAACCTTCGACTCGTGAAATGTTTTCATCGCTTTTTAGAGTGTGTTAGTCGAGATTATTCTATTTCTCAATTGTCTACCTTTTCCTACCTAGTACTAGCTCCTGGAATAAGACATCATGAATTCATAGAATTGGTTCACGATTTCATAGTTATGACAGGCAATAGTCATGTGAGTGCCAAGATGCTAGATGCTCAGATTTTGTTTGATGAGAGCAGATAATCCTTGCTCACTAGACCGCACTTCGTGTTTGTTATTGGTGTAACGCCTAGTCTAACCCCTGTTTGGACGGGTTCAGACCAGACGAAAAGGGTGTTCAGATAATCAGCACATCAAAGCTCATGCAAAGAGGTGGTTAGTGCCATTCGGGGACTAATAGAATGCGGGACATACATTGGGTTTGTCGGGAACCCTTCGCTTGCATCCCAGCAGATATTGCTTGTACATCAAAACATTATGCTTTTAAGGTTTTGCTGGGGAAGTAATGATCTGTCGACATCAGGAGGTTTCTTGACACTTTCCTGAGAGTGGTGTATTGGTAGGCTGGTGCATTCTATATTTGCGGCTTGCTAGTCACCGGCGCCTAGGTTGAAGCAGCATAGTTTACGAAATGCCGGCCAACCGCCTTGTATGTAGCCAGTAACGTTTATTTTTCTTTTCCCCAGTTGCTTCCTGCTGGGACTTTGGGGATTTTGTTGCGGCCTGTTTATTTTGTAGCTATTAAACTCGTAAGCGTGGTAAAGGATTGTAGTCCGTCGAATGTGATTCCCAATAACTTTGGATTGTTAATTGCCTGAAGTTTTACGCCAACAAGTTAGAGCCTGAACTCCTTGTCAGCTGGTGAAAAGGTTGGCCTAAGGCTTCCTAGGTTGCAGTTGTAATTGTCCTGCAGTAAAGAACTGGGATAGTTTGTTTATATGACAGTTCACCATCGAAAATCTGTGTATCAATATTCTGGCCCTACGCTGATATCGATCATTTAAAACCAATAAAACACCCTCTGGCAGAGGAGGGAGCATCGAGATCTTACGGGGATTGGATCTTTGACTTCAAAACAGCGGATGCTTGCCGACCACTGAACTAGCCCATGTCCGATAGTATCACTGAATGATTGACGTTGTCAAAAGCTACGCGCGCAGGATCGGTTTGGTTGAGGCCATTGACAATCTGGATGTTTATACCATGTATACTATGTGTGTGAAAGACAGGAGCAAAAAGGAATCAATTGTCTTCGCTACTGGGAAGAGCAGCGACATCGGTCCTTGCCCGGCACTAGGAGTTATCAAGAAAATATTTAGCGTACGAAGATCCAAATTGAAGAAAAATGCTTTTTATAAGAGCATACAATTCAGGCGATTTTAATAGATCTTCTATTCCTGAAATCTTTCCGGCTAAGAGCTGTTATAATTTGGCTACCTAATCGCCAACAGGTAACATAATGGACAATTTTTTTTTAGTAGGTGCATCGGCAGACCCAAGAGCACTTTGAGCACTTTAACAAGAAAATCATCTTTTCCGTTGCAAGGTAGGAAACCTTAAAATTGTTTATTTATTTCTCCATTACTTGTTTTTTTTTAGTTTTTTAGTTATAATAATTCATAAAAAGTAATCTGCATTTTAGAACTTCAAATGTTTTCAGCGTATCGTTTATTTCTATTGCAATCTTCAGAATATATACAAATCAGTACCACTCGAGATATGTGAAATGAAAAATAACTATTCAAAATAAGCAAACATTGTAACTTCAGGGAGTTAGATCCCAGTAGAATACCATCAGCCTCTTCGATTTTCTGTGAATTAAAGAATGCTTTAAGTAAATTTTCAAATCTAATTTATTACTCTGTTTCGTTGAGCACATCGAACAAGCTACTCCGTCCCGAAGACTAGTCTTTCCGTCGTCTGGTCATCTCGGGATAAATTTCTAAACACCCAAGTAGCATTCGATTTGCTCCTTGGTGATTCTTTGTGATCGATGAATATCTAAAAAATGTAAAATTTAATGTTAATACGTGTATGAATAAATAAAATAAATACCAAATTACTTACTCATATTTGTAGCTGCAGAAGCTCGAATGTTTATGTTCGTACATAGTGGTGACACGACATGGTAATCTATTTATAAAGATTTTAAATTGTAAATTTTTTTTTAACAAATGACTCAGGTAATACGAAAAGTTAACGTATTCAAAAGTAAGGTCCTTGCTAATGTTTAGTATAATTACCAGTTTTTTTTTGTTTATTTTAACGAATAATTATGACTATAAAAGCTGTTTAAGATAATTTATCGCATGTAATCGATAAGCTAATGTTTGTTAAGTGGCTGTGCGCATCCCTATCAAAGGCCGGTATCAGCTTCTCGCTGGAAATAATTTTTCGCCTAATACTTTTTATTTGCCTCGAAAAAGTATTCAAGGTTATAAGAAGTAAATGGCCAGCTTTTTTTTTTGCTCTAACGCCACCGCCAATAACAAATTGTTAGTTTACTATAAATTTAATTGTATGTCTTTTAAGAAGTCAGTGATGGTGTTGTGCGTATTGTTTCGATGTAAGTCGAATAATGATGAATGATTTGTTAATACTGTTACGATTTTACTAAATCAACCTCGATGATTTTCTAAATCCTTCGGGTACGATCTCTGGATTGTTAAATAAAACTCGCCAACTTAATTTGCAGTTTCTTTCGAAATAAAGATTTTATCCAATGTCCTTTATTTACTCCGTAATACACAATTCAATTACAAGGCACTTTACTAGCTACAATCACTTGCACAAACTTTCACCATTTACTCTACTTAAATGTAATTCCCAACGCGTTTACTTTACGACTTAACTGATGTTAACGCCAACGAGCTCACTTTGTAACTAACTTCTTGCCGCTGAGTGTCGCCTTTATATAGCAGTCGGCTGCTCGCAGACGAAAGCGTAGAAGCATCGAATTGTTCGCTATGGAAGGTTCTTGTTTTATCGTTTCTAGAACGTACTAGTTATCGGCTTCTCTCTTTCATCTGACATTCGCCTCGCATTTTCGCAACAATATTGTCTCTAGGGGTATTGTTTTTATTCGATGTGAGTGTTTTTATTTTAATTACTTCGTTCTATAGCGGTCAATTTTGTTCTATTATTCCTAAGTTGTCGAATATTTCTATATATTGTTTATATGTTGAGCTGTAAATTGAGTTAACATTGGGGTGATTTTCAATTGAATATTATAAGAAATTATTTGCTGTTATGCTCTTAATTAATTCTTTAGCTGTCTGCCAGCCTGCTCTATGGGGGGTGGTAGTTCGTTTGCTAAAACGTATGTTAATGGGATTGGGGAAGGTGGTGTGACTCCTAATGCTCTTCGTAAGAAGTTGTTTTGAAAAGTTAGTATTTTTTTGTTAACTGCCTTGGAGCAGTTTTCTGTGGATGTTCGGCAGTACTCAATCACAATCAATCAAAGACTTTGTAGAAGTTGATTGCTGCCTTAGGTCTGAGTCCTGCTTTGATAGTCGTAATTAGTTTGAAAAAAGTGGAGTTGCTTTCGGAATTCACAATTCAATTTACAACATAAAAATTTTATAGAGTTGGTTTGTGCTATACTAGTATTGTTTGCAGTAACGTGGACTTGTTTTTTCTACCTTTGCTAACATACATTATTTTAATTTAAGCTATATTGAAACTTAGATTTAGTTCTTGTCAGACTTGGTTGAAAAGATTTTCTTGAATTTCTTTGGGTTGTTATTTCAATATTTTGTCCATGTGAGTATATTATAAAGACATCAGCAAATTGACAAATTTCTGCATGTTGATCTTTTATTTTGGTGTTGTTGTTGTTGTAGTTGTAGCGGTTCGCTAACCCCGCTTAGGCACAGGTTTGATCAGTCTAAGTCGCCGAGGTCATCTAATGGTAGATTCAGGAAACGAGCTGTTTCGACGGGGTTGGACCAAAGGGAGAGGGGAGTTAGATGAGTTGGTTTGAGAGGGCATGTGAAGAGGTGGTTAGTGTCGTGCGGAGACTTCTCGCAACAATACGGCTTTTCCACGGCATCGTGAAATACATTATTAGTTCATTGTGCGCATTACCCATTCACACAGCACGCAATTTGATAGTTGCACTTTAGCAGGTTTGCTCCATTTGAAAACGCACGGAAAATGATTGAATTTTTTTTTAGAAGCTAATCAAATCTTTAATTGAATTGGTAATGTTAGTTTCTTTAATATTATCTAATTTTTTCACTCTTAAAAGTACAAGTAGAGTTTGGTTTCAAATAAATGTTTGTGGACTAGTGTTTTCTTTTATGATATTGAACTCTTTTTGTTTTGATTTATCAGCTGGTTTCGATAAAAATTAGAGAAGGTAACGACTTGGTCGAAATTCGCAAGGAAATTGAGAATGAATTACCCATTTTAGTGTAACTCGCTCACAAAAATTGTAATTAAATTAATAAATAAATAAATAAATAAATGGAAATGCCGGGCATTGGAAGATTATGTGGTCTGCGTTTCCTGGTACATAGCAGTTTTTACAAATGCCAGTGAACATGACATCCTGTGCTAGTTGGCTCCGAAAATATTCGTCGGTATATTTGTCCTTTATTCACAATTTCGGGTTTGTATTCTTGTTCCCAATCTTTATGTATTTACTTCGAAATTCCAGGCGAAATCTATGACTTTTTCAATGGCTATTAGTTCGGCTGTCATTGAGGCTAAATTTTTGTTACAGTAAAAAGATTTGCATGAGTTAGACTTTTCATGTATGAATGCTGCATTCGTTTTGTTATCTTTTACTGATCCAACCGTAAACATTATGTCAAATTGTTTTGATTCCAGATGGGTGATTATTTCTTTGTAGATGCTATGTATAAGTGCCTGGTTGGCACCCGTTTTTTTATATTTTTAAAGAAGTCCTCGAAATGTATTTTGATTGATTTTGATTGAAGTAATGTTGAAGAATATTATTTTATATTTGTTGTTCGTTTGTTGAGATTGATATGTATTATCATATGTTTGGCTATTGCTGCCATCTCTAATCTGAATTTGGGTAGTAGCTCGGCGGCCATATGATAGATGACGTGTACCGGCTTTGAACGATTCAATCCTAGACATCGTCTGAGGCTGGCGTAGCAGCATGTATTCAGTTTTTGTAGTGCTGATTGTGGTAAATTTGAGGCATAAGAGCAGAATACAGACCGTTGGTAGAATGAAATGAATTAATGGCCGTCGTCCGCTCTGCTTTCAGGATTTCAGTGATATATATTTTTTTGGGTCAAACTTTTATTTACGAATATATGCAAAAAGTTTACACCACATTTAAAAATTTGTTTGTATCGTTAGAAAGGTGAAGAAAATTCCTATTATTTGATGTGCATATCTTTATACTTTTGGAAGAAAATTTTGTGAAATATCGAGTAATAATAAAAATACTATTTTTTTTTTATAGAAAAACTAGTTATTCTTTAAATTTTTTGTAATTCAATTTTTAATTTTTCTTAGTTCAGGGAAAGATTTGGATTTTTGATTTCAGATAAAAATTAGTTATCATGACTACCGCGAAATCACCTTCTTGTGGACGGTCTACTTCACTGCCAACGCCTTAAGTTGTACTATTTTTCATTTAAATTGTCATCAAGTGTTGTCCACATATTGTACTTTTATATGTAAACAAAATAAATTGTATACTTTATTTAGTATCTTTAAAAAAAATTAGTGAAAATAATCTTTTTTTCTGGCCTTCGAGACCTATGTAACCTCTTAAAGTTTTTGCATTCGTTGATGAGATGCTCAATATTTTGTTGCAGTAGAACTTCAGTTTGTTGTTGTGATTTGTGGTAGCACACTAGGAACAAGTCGTCGGTAAACTGGAATAATTTGCAGTTTGGGTTGGTTATCGTGTGGATCCGGTTTGTATTGTATATATGTTGAAGAGAGTGGGGCTGAGGCCACTACCTTGAGCTAGGCCGTTGCTGTTTAGTATTTTATTACTGTTGAGTGTGAGGTATCGTCTTTTGAGGAAGTTTATTATCCAGTTTGTTACTCTTGTTGATGGGGGTCCTCATAAGTATTTTTTCCAGCGTGTTGACATCTACTAACTTGTATGCTGATTCTATATCAATACAGGCTGCCATTACTTGGATTTTTTTCCCTATTGTTGAGGGCAACAGGTTTGATTAAGTCGTTCCGGAAGTTGTATGATCTATTTGGCAAAAAGTCGTGTTGCTGTAATTGGTAGTCCCTCCATGCTTCTGGTATTTTGCCTTCCGGCCAGACGTTTTTAAGCATTATTAATAGGTTTTGTTTTTCTTTGTCGTTCAGTTGTGCTAGCAAGCGGTAAGATATTAGATCAGGTCCCTTAGCTGAATTAATATTCCTAGTGTGTAGAAACTGCAGGAAGTTGTTGAAGTTCTTCTATGGTTTCATTTGCTCAGTTTAAATTGTCGTAAATGATGGACGGTAGCTCTAGTAATATGTTCGAGGTATTTAGTTTGCTTTTGGTTGTTCAAGGTGTTGTGGAAGGCTTCTCTTGATTACTCTCTTGAAACTTTTTTTTTAAATTAGTTTTAATATGTTCCTATCATTTTTTTTCCGCAGTCCTGTATAATTCACTGTTTTGTGGCGTTTAATATTGATTACATTTTTTCCTTGCTGCATTTCTTAGTCTGAATAATTTGTTAGTTCGTCTGTCCACAAGCGTTTTAGAACATATTTTGTGTCTTTGATGTGTTTTGTGTCACTAGCCCGCTTAGGCACAGGTTTGATCAGTCTAAGTCGCCGAGGTCATCTAATGGTAGGTCCAGGAGCTGTTTCGACGGGGTTGGACCAGAGGGAGAGGGGGGTTAGATGAGTTGGTTTGAGGGGGCATGTGAAGAGGTGGTTAGTGTCGTGCGGAGACTTTTCACATGAAGGGCATAGGTTGGGTATGCTGGGGTCTAGTCTGGATAAGCAGGAGTTAAACCTGCTACAATATCCAGACCTGAGTTGTGTCAAGGTCTCTCGAGACAGTTAGAGCTCGTAGTCTGCTATAGGTGGTGGTATTTCTCCGAGTACGCCATTCACTGGAAGGGAGTTCTTGAAGGTGTTGACTGACTTCTGGTGAATGGCGTTCAGTGCTTGTCGGTACACCGTCCTGTCCAGCGGTTGTTGTACATGTTGCTGGATTGTGTCCTTTAGGTCTAGTACTCCCTCTCTGATGTGCCTAGGTGGAAGTTCAGCTTCTATTATGTGCCTACTGGGGTGCTCCCTGCGGTAGCATCCCAATAGGAACTGCTTGCACAGCAAAGCATTATGCTCCTTAACTCGTAGCATAGATGCTTCCCAGTGATGCTCCGGCGACATCAGGAGGTTTCCTGTCGTGGTCCTGAGGGCGGTGTTCTGGCAAGCCTGTAACTTCTTCATCAGCGTCTTGTTCGTCCCCGGCGCCCAGATCGGTGCAGCATAGCTTACGACCGGCCGACCAATTGCTTTATAAGTAGCCAGCAAAGTTTCTTTGTCTTTACCCCAGGTGCTGCCAGCTAGCGCTTTGAGTATTTTGTTGCGGCTCTAGAGTTTCGCGGCAATTGCGGTAGTTACTTACTTAATTATTTAATAATAGAATAAAATTTACTTAATTATTTAAAAATATAATAAAGATGATCCGAGAATCAGTACT